TTCTATCGCTCAAAAAATTGGGACCTCGGAGCCACTTTCACGCCTCCTGCCAGGAGTGGCTCAGCAGTTGCAAGCTCTGGAGCGAAAGGACGGACGCATGGACCCCATGGGGCCAGACCCTCGCTATCTCCACCTGTGCGGGGGAATACAAATACAAATACCCCAATCTCTAGTCCCTACTGTGCATCCCAGAAGAACCAGCCTGTGTGGCCTTAGGCAAGCTCCATAGTCCCTGGAAACCCGCAGCAGAAGGAAATGGTAAACCACTTCTGTGTATTATCTATTTAGAAAATCCTGAAAAGAGTCGCCATAAATCAGAATTGACTTATAATTAATCAAAAAAAAAGGGCAGAGCATTGTTGCTGTTGTTTAGTTTTTAAGTCCCGTCCAACTCTTCATGACCCCATGGACCAGAGCATGCCAGGCCCTCCTGTCTTCCATTGCCTCCCAGAGTTTGGTCATATTCATGTTGGTCACTTCGATGACAATGTCCAGCCATCTCGTCCTCTGTTGTCCCCTTCTCCTCTTTCTCGACACTCTTTCTCGACATCAGGATCTTTTCCAGGGAGTCTTCCCTTCTCATGAGAGGGCCAAAGTATTGGAGCCTCAGCTTCAGGATCTGTCCTTCCAGTGAGCACTCAGGGTTGATTTCCTTCAGAATGGATAGCATTGTTCTCTTTGCAGTCCAGGGGACTCTCAAGAGCATTGTGGCACATAATTTTTACCAGTCTTTAAAATGCCATGATGCTCTGTCCTTTTTTTTTAACCTTTTAATTTTCCCAACATATTCAATACTACAAATAGTTATAAAATTCTCCCCAAATTATCTAATTATTAATTTAATATGCAGGTTAGATAAACACAGTGAATATCTCATTTGCTGTGAAATTTACAGAAAGTTTGGAATTTTTAAAGGACTGTGGCAAAAGGGACAGTGTTATTTGGAGATAAGAAAGCAACTGAGGAATTCGCCAGAAACAAGGTTCCCTCTAGGCTGCGCACCTGTGCAACTCCACCTCCCTCCGTGTAGCTTTCCTCCTCTTCCATGCAGCCCCTTTAGTTCCGGTCGCGACAGAAACCCTTGTTCATGGGATGGAATAGAGGCTTGTGCCTGTGCAAGGGGGAAGTTGAGACAGAGAGAGGTGGAGCCCCCTTTTGTGCAAGGTGTATGAGTGCCTGTGGCATTTTATTTTTATTTGGCCAAGGCTGATGCTAAATGAATAAACTTTGTAGCTGATGGTGGAGAAGGGCTGTAGCTGGATAATTTAGCACCTTATTCTTTGTGCAAAAAAGAAAATCCTAAATTTGATACTGCGCCTTCTCAACCCATGTAGGGCTAAGAAAGATGCATAGCTACAACCCTGGAGAATTGCTTCCAGACAGTTTAGATCAAGAACAGAAACCACTCCCTCCCCCAATACTGGACTTCATTTCTCACAACCCCTCACTGTTCCATTAGTCTATTGCAACAAAACTGGTATTGAGTCTAATGGCAGCTTAATAGACTAAGAAGTTTTAGTTGGTATAGTTTTTGTGAACTATAACCTGCTTCTTCAGGTGCAAAGCACAGTTCTTTATGTTATGGTGATCTGAACCTGTAAAGTGCATTTGTGTTTCTGTGATTTTGTTACGATTTTGTTACGATTTTTTCAGTCTTTTTGAGAATTCTTACTCAGCAGTCAGTGCCCCACATTCAAAGATCTAGTTTATTGGAAAAGGATAGGAATCAATCATTTGAACTGTCCTGCAGTGCCAGGTATTTACCCATTTACCCATACTAAATTGCATTTGGTTTTCATTCCCTATGTCGTCAAACAGGTGACAGAAAATCTGAGCAGATGTGTAGGGTATGGCTTTCTGAAATTCTGTATATCTATTCCTTTGGGACTGACACTAGAAACTGTGGAAAGATGAACAGATGTGCTCTCCCATACACTGCCACTGTACCTCTTACATTGAGAACATCACTGATGCTGTAATGCTATAGTGCTTCATGTTTCTGTGCAGAAGAGTTGTGCAAAGTGTATTGTGCCGCTGCACAGCACCATTTGAGAGAGCTTTGTGATATTACATGATGGTATAGCCATTCTAGGCACCCCTAATCAGAAATTGCTTTATAAAACATTTCTGCAGAATATTTGGTGGAATATAATAATTGTTCATTCACTGCCGTAGGGAATAAACTTCTTAAAATGAAATCTTTCTTATTTTTAAAGAAGCAAAATACTTGTGAAGGGGGCTTAATGCAAACATGACTGACTCATAAAAAAATATTTTCTGTATTTCACTAGGTAATTAAAACAACCCTCAACCTGGCAGGCTTGCCAAATGCTGGTGATTTCTCAGTTTATTGATGTGAACTGTGTGGGGACCCAGTTTCAAGAATACAGCCTCAGTAGCCCATGTGATTCCATTTTCTTGCAGGTGCCTCAACGAACTACTTCCATTTCACCTGCATTAGCTCGTAAGAACTCTCCCGGGAATGGGAATGCATTGGTTCCTAGGCCAGGATCACAGCCCATAAGAGCAAGGTAATGTTAATTAAAGAGGATGTCTTCGGGGTGTACACACACACACACACACACACACACAGAGAGAGAGAGAGAGAGAGAGAGAGAGAGCAGCATAAACTACAATTCTCTTCCATTAAATAGCCTACTCATATGTCTAAAATACTATATTTAATCATGGCCTGTTTCATCTCTACCTGTAAAATTTTGGATATAGGATGAGAAGGGGACAATAAAGTGATCTGAACAAGGAATTCCTTGTTCTATTTCTCCGTGTATTGGAGGAAGGGGCACAGACACCAGAAAGTATTTTTGCACATTTCACAATTGAAAGGTGAGCATACCTGCTTATAACTCCCCTGAGCATTTGCTATTAGGCTATGCTGTGGTGCAAGCCTGCACTACAGCAGTTTTCTCTGTGCCCTTTTCTGAACCCTCAACTTACTTTTTCATTCTCTGCATCTCATAGTATATTGTTTACTTAACACAGTTAGAAATTAAAATTAGGGTTAGTGGATTCATAGAGCAATAGGGAAATATTATATTAAGTTTAGACCCCTTTGGAGTATATCAGGAAGGGGAATAAGATTTTGTTATTGGAGTATATCAGGAAAGGGAATAAGATTTTGTTGTATATATATAGAGAGATTAATAGATTTTGTGTGTATGTATGTGCATGTGTGATTTTCATTGGCAGGGTTTGTATTCTGCTGTAGTATATAGAGAGAGATATTAATAGATTTTGTGTATATGTATGTGCATGTGTGACTTTCATTGGCAGGGTTTGTATTCTGCTGTAGCAGAATAGAATACTGTTCATCTTTGGGCAGAGCCTTCAGTACACGGGGTGTGGGTAAGAAGAATGCAAAATTATGGGTCAAGTCTATGTTCTCTAAATCTCTGAGAGTGCAATACAGGTCCTTAGGATCGCTGTGGGGAGACATCCATCCTTAGCCAGGTGATCCCAGTATCCCAGGGCTTAGTTGTCATGATGGAGGCCATAATGAGAGTCTGGGTGGATTCCACAGAGGAAGAGCAGCTTTTATTTCTGCCCTAAAGTTGTGTCACTGATTAGCAAACTGAAAGGACTGTTCTGCTACAGGTTTGTGGAGACAACACTCTTGGACCACTGTATTGAAAAACATGGCAGGGGCCTTTCCTCTAGAGACAACAACCCAGAGAAAGAACATGCCAGAGGCAGAGATAGAAGCGTACATGCAGGAGTCCTGAAAGCCGAAAGAAACTAATCCTTTGTTTTACTGGGCTGAGAAGGAGTCTGTTTGGGGAGGTCTGGCCAAGATAGCAGTGGGACTGCTGTCTTGCTCATCAACTATTGTTTCCAGTGAGAGTGTTCTCTCAAGTAGGGGACATTGTCAGTCCACACTGCTCATACCTGGCATATGCCATCATCATGCAGCCTATGTGTATTGGAGATGCAGCAGTCTCCGTCAAATGCCAGAGTACCTACAAAGCAGCACGAAGTGTGGATCAGCTTTAAGATCATGTTGCTCAACAAAGCACTTACAAAGAGTGAGTAAATCCCAGCTTCATCTAGCAGGCTCTGATTTTACTGCAGCTGGAACTGTGGATCATAAGAGGTGACTAGACTGCAGAAAACATGCTGCAAATATTTGTATTGCCTTGCAATAGGGAAATTTTTTGAGAGATTTTTCTCTTTAATCTTGTCTTCTAAACAAACATAAAATGATCCCAAGTGAAAAGAACATTCTTTACTATTTATTGCATAGAGATTTTGCCTAGGAATGAATGTGCATATCTACCTGTGTTCAGCCTGCTTCCACCTTTGGCTGTATCTTCAAAGATCAGAAGCAGCAACTGCATGCCCCTGCCCTAGTCATTCAGCCCAGAACTTGAATATGTTCCCTTTTTTCCTCTTACGATGCCCATGATCCTACAAATAACTGTGCTGCTGGAAGAATGCTAGGAACTGTAGACAGAAAAAGTATTTCTCCCCAGTTCTGTTTCATCCAATTTTCCTAAGTAGAATAGACAGATTGTAGATTAAGTGTACTTTCAGTCTGTTTCCTATGCAGATGTGCTTCCTGGGTTATAAATTTAGAGCTCAAGTTAAACATTGGAACAGCTGTCAAAACCAAAGCCTACAGCTACTGTAATGCATTGTTCTTGACCAGAAGGATTTTAATTCAAATCATGGCACCTTTTACACAAAATGCAATTAATAGGTGATAAATAGAACACACATGTAATAATCACATTTTCATCCCACTTTTTAGGGGGGGGGGATAGACCTTGAATCCAGGTGTTTAGCTCCAATCCAACATTCTACACTGCATTATTTCTCTTGTTTGATTTTTGTATGTGCCTTTGTATTGCTGTACAGGGGCCCTTCCTCCCTTATACTTCTTCATTTACTTGTAATGAATTGTCTCAGATGGATGTTTGAGGCTGGATAATGTTCATGCTCCTTTCCATCTCTTGATTCTGTGAGGAGTCGACAGCTTTCCCTAACAACTATGTTGCTAAAATGGAAACTAGGAGTAAGGAAAAGGCTGCATACCACCTAGCATAAGTGCTTAGTGCTGTTGTTGCTAAGCTGTACACCTGAAAAAACGTCTGTCTGGAAATTCATGTGAACTTGCACCCACCTTGAGATAAGCCCAACCATGCAACTGTGGGGGGAGTTGCTCAGGCATAAAATCTAGTACAGTGGTCCCCAACCTTGGCCCTCCAGATGTTCTTGGACTTCAACTCCCAGAAATCCTGGCCAGCAGAGGTGGTGGTGAAGGCTTCTGGGAGCTGTAGTCTAAGAACATCTGGAGGGCCAAGGTTGGACACCACTGAGAAGCAGAAGCAATGTGACACTTTGGAGGGAGCTGCAGAAAGACACAGTACATAAATCTAGTACAGTGGTCCCCAACCTTGGCCCTCCAGATGTTCTTGGACTTCAACTCCCAGAAATCCTGGCCAGCAGAGGTGGTGGTGAAGGCTTCTGGGAGCTGTAGTCTAAGAACATCTGGAGGGCCAAGGTTGGACACCACTGAGAAGCAGAAGCAATGTGACACTTTGGAGGGAGCTGCAGAAAGACACAGTACATAACTGGCAAGACAAGCAGAAGCAATGTGACACTTTGGGAGGGAGCTGCAGAAAGACACAGTACATAACTGGCAAGTGAGGTGTCAGGTATTAGTGTGCTTGCAGCTTGAAATAGCTGAAATGTGAAACCCAGAAAATCAGGAGATAAGGCCTCGGCAGATGTAAGCCATTGTCATATCTGCTGATGAATAAATGTTTGGCCTTGAAAGACTCAACCTACAAGCTCCTTATATACTTAATTATGTGCTTGTGCTTGCAATACTATAAATTAAGTTCATTTTGGAGAATGCTGTTCTGCCTGAATGTGGAGACAAGCTCTAAGCTGTGTCCATTTAACTGTCCAGATTTGAACACAATGACATACATAAACATGCCCCTTCTCAAGCATCTTTGAGGATCTTTAACAGAATTCGCACAACCTTCACACAGCTATAATTCCCATGATGCTTTCCATGCTTTCTGAAAAACAGCCCTGAGTTGCTTTGGGTGAGAAGTGGTTAACTGATGAAGCTTAAAGGATTTTCCTGTGTGAGTGGTAGTGAGCACAAGAAGGTATCCTGTAGACCAATGGTCCCCAACCTTGGGCTTCCAGATGTTCTTCAACTACAACTCCCAGAAGCCTTCACCACTACCTCTGTTGGCCAGGATTCCTGGGAGTTGAAGTCCAAGAACATCTGGAGGCCCAAGGTTGGGGACCACTGCTGTAGACTGTCTTGACTGTTGCCATTGATGTTGTCAATTTTCAGGTTGCCCTTTGCTGTGTCAAATTTAGCATTCTTTCTCCTGCTGGCAATGTGGGCACCATTTTGTGCAACAATACTGGGCCGTTTCCTGGTGTTTTGAATCATCGATACAGAAGCACAATATCCCACATCTATAAACCTGAGTATTTTGAAAGATTGAATTGTCATTAGCTATAAATATCACTTCAGAGCTGCCTTAATCTAAAAACTGCCAATCACTGTACCTATCGAGAATGCCAGAATGCCTTTTGGATAAAAAGCTCAACTTGATGGAATTCTTGCCTGAAGACAAGAAAGAAAAAATGTTTTTTTTTCTTTAGAGTATCTGGCAACACCTCCTGACAACAAATTAGGTCTATTAGAAATGCTGTGGAATGTGCATGAAAAGCTTCGCTGAATGCTGTTACCTTAAGACAATCTTGGATCTTCTGCACTGCCTTGTCTTAGGATGACTGAATTAAAGTCAAAGATATATCCTTGGCATGTCTAAAACCTGATTCTTGACCCAAGCCTTTGGAAATCTTACCCATTGTTGATTTTATTTATGAGGTAATTTTGTGTTGGCCCCATGGTGTTGATTTATTGCTTAACCTCTGATCCAGCTGTCTTAACTTTGCTATCTGGAGACTTTGTGATGCCTGTTAGAGAAGAGATTTTACAGGGGGTTCTCATTTTTTGTATATTTATTTTTGTACCCACCCAGAGTGTTAGCTTGTCACTTGATGGCAATGGTATAAATCTAACAAATAAATGAGACAGAAACCACAACCTTTCCAATGGGCTTACATCAGGCTCATCACAGTACTGTCAGTTTATCTGGCCTAGATTGAGTAACCACCATCGATAGCAACTTGGAACTTGGAACAGCTTTCAAAACTAGTTTTTCTCAATCAAGAAAACGTCCACCTTCTCCCTTAGTTCCAAGCAACTCCAAATACCTAGAACGACTCTCCTTTTCCACTCCAGGACCACTTAACATCATATCCCACATAATTTCAGATCACTAAGTGCTTTTCATCATCCAGTGGGGCTGTCAAATACAATTCAACCATTTCTCTCACAATACAGTGTGTTGTTTTTTTTTAATCTCTACCTCGACAGCCCTACTAGAAGCGAGTATGCAAGAGAGCTACAGAACCAGTATCTTACTGTCAACAACATATTGGTTACTATTCCAAAACTGGATGGGCTCTCTCTCCATTTCTTCACTTCTGAGGTGTCAATGAGTACACAAGAACAGAGCATTTAAGTGCTGTCTGCCTCTGGTTGTCTTTCCCCTCCTACAGGAAGATAATTGGTTTGTCACGACTGATTTGAAATTTCCATATAACTGTACTTCCGCACAGTAAGCCATCCATCTCATTGCAGGTACAGTGGTGCCTCGCAAGACGAATTTAATTCGTTCCGCAGTTAATGTTGTCTTGCGAAAAATTTGTCTTGT